AACTACATTCTTCTTTAAGTCCAAACTACATTCTTCTTTAAGTCCAAACTACATTCTTCTTTAAGTCCAAACTACATTCTTCTTTAAGTCCAGACTACATTCTTTATTAAGTCCAGACTACATTCTTCTTTAAGTCCAAACTACATTCTTCTTTAAGTTCAGACTACATTCTTCTTTAAGTCCAGACTACATTCTTCTTTAAGTCCAAACTACATTCTTCTTTAAGTTCAGACTACATTCTTCTTTAAGTCCAAATTACATTCTTCTTTAAGTATAAACTACATTTTTTGAATATAACCTGCATTATTAAATTTGGAAACAATTTATTTTTGAATATAAACAATATTTCTCTTCATTCTAAGCAGCATGTGTTTATAACTGTTCTTTAATCCAAGCAAAATCTTTTTCGAAACTTCAAGACATTATTCTGAAACACAAAGTTATCTTCAAATTAAGAGAATCTATCTTATATTTTTTGCGAACCGTGATGTTTGTCCGAGCGTTTATATGTTTCCCGTTTGAAAAGCTGTGCACGCAGGCAAAGCTCAACATTCACTTTTGAAGTGACGGGAGAACAGGCATGAATAATGTTGATGCCAAATTTTATTTCGCAAGCAGGATTTTTTACATTAAAATGTCAGTAATTAATCACAATATCATTCATATTTCAAAATGTGACGTAACTTAAAGAATAAAAATGTAAATTGATCGTATGTTGTTGTTGAGCGGCTCTTAACATGACTGAAATGCTCAATAATTACATTTCACGGTATAAGTAGCTTAGAGCTTTGATTCTGAGTAAAACCAAGAGTGCAATACAGTTAACCTTATAAAAGGCCACGAAATTATTTAAATTAATAGATTAACTTCAACTTTCCCCGTCACTGGGGACGGGTACTTTTGCTTGTTTCCAATAAAATCAGTAGTGACGTCAGCAGTGATTCATGTTTCATCAACTTCTTCGTTATTTACATATTTATATGTTATTTATTTGTACCAAATAGTCACTTATATTTACACTTTTATCGTGACAGAAAGAACGGAAATGGATGAACAAGTGTTCGAAAAATATTAATTTTTTCATTGTAGTTCACATAAATAAAACTGCACTATTTAGTTTTCCTAAATGTTTTAACAAATCCTTACCCAAGTAGTACTATACTGAAACACTTCCCAAGAGATGGTAAAAGTGAGTCAGTTCCTGACAGTTCTGGTGATTCCGATGTTACATTTTTTAGCATCAAATTCTGCAACAGAAGAAATAATATTCGAACTTAAGCATTTGTTCAACTTTATGTCAGCGTTATTCATATTAAACGTATTTGAGTAGATGATGTCCAACACTTTGAAAACAACATTTTAGTTGGTTTCGTTGTTTACAAAATTCTAGTCACAGCTTTCATGAAAAAAATTAGGAGCTAAGCCTAATAATTCTTCATTATGACTTGCATTATAACACACATAAAATTATTTTTTATAAATTCCACGGTCGTAGTTGATTATACAGGCCTGCGAATTTAAACTTCATAAAAATTGTTTCGGTTTTAATGACGGATTTTCCATAATTCAGCTACGCATATTTCGAAATAATATTAATTTTTTCTATCACGTAAGGTTATTTTTTTTTTTTTTACTAGATAGTGGAGAACAATAACTCTTACTCAGATCAAATTTACAACAAATATAACAGAATATGTTTGGGTCATTTACATAACTTCTTGTTGCCATAGCGACGAATATATAATATTGAAAATAAAAAACATATATTGGCAAAATGCACGCATAAACAAATACTATCCAAATATGACACGTCATGCGGCCTGTTAACCGTTTATATACTAGTGGTGTGTTTCTCGTGGGTTCTAGAGCAATCGATAAGACTCTTACGTCGCGATTGATCTAGAGAAATCTTAAATAATAAGCATAACAAAATGTGACCCGATTTCAATGAAAATGATTCACTTATGTAAAAATACATATAAAGTTTTGTGAAAAATCTGTACGTGATGGGGAAAAAATAGATATTTTCGGATTCAGCGTACAGGAATTACTGTAGAACATGTAAAAATGTCAAGACAATAAAACCATAGCAGGCCTGTGCTATCTAAGTATTAACATTGAAAATTATTTTCACCGTGATACGTTAAGCCTAACATCACACTAGCAATAATAAAAACACAAAACATAATTATACATTTATATCTAATCAATACACAATATTAAAAAATGACATTAAAAACGTTCACGACCCTGTGAAACGAATGTCTTACGTTCACGACCCTGTGAAACGAATGTCTTACGTCCACGACCCTGTGAAACGAATGTCTTACGTCCACGACCCTGTGAAATTAATGTCTTACGTTCACCACCCCGTGAAACAAATGCCTTACGTTCACGACCCTGTGAAACGAATGTCTCATCTTCATGACCCTGTGAAACAAACGACTCACGTCCACTGACCCTGTGAAACGAATGTCTCATCTTCATGACCCTGTGAAACGAATGTCTCATCTTCATGACCCTGTGAAACGAATGACTCATGTTCATAACCCTGTGAAACGAATGTCTTATGTTCACGACCCTGTGAAATTGATGTCTTACGTTCACGACCCTGTGAAACGAATGCCTTATGTTCATGACCCTGTGAAGCGAATGTCTCATCTTCATGACCCTGTGAAACAAATGTCTCATGTTCATAACCCTGTGAAGCGAATGTCTCATGTTCATGACCCTGTGAAGCGAATGTCTCATGTTCAAGACCCTGTGAAACAAATATCTCATGTTCATGACCCTGTGAAGCGAATTTCTCATGTTCATGACCCTGTGAAACAAACAACTTACGTCCACTGACCCTGTGAAACGAATGTCTTATGTTCACGACTGCATAACTCCTTCATGAACTGAGATATTGGTTTGACTGAAAATATTTTCTCTTGAAATGGAGTTTTGTTCAGATGACATGAAACTGGTATTGTACCAGTCACCTGTTCAGATGACATAAAACTGGTATTGTACCAGTCACCTGTTCAGATGACATGAAACTGGTATTGTAACAGTCACCTGTTCAGATGACATGAAACTGGTACTGTACCAGTCACCTGTTCAGATGACATGAAACTGGTATTGTACCAGTCACCTGTTCAGATGACATAAAACTGGTATTGTACCAGCCACCTGTTCAGATGACATGAAACTGGTATTGTACCAGTCACCTGTTCAGATGACATAAAACTGGTATTGTACCAGCCACCTGTTCAGATGACATGAAACTGGCATTGTCCCAGTCACCTGTTCAGATGACATAAAACTGGTATTGTACCAGCCACCTGTTCAGATGACATGAAACTGGTATTGTACCAGTCACCTGTTCAGATGACATGAAACTGGTATTGTACCAGTCACCTGTTCAGATGACATGAAACTGGTATTGTTTATTATAAATACAATTAAATTTCCACTTTATATGCAAATTGTGAGCTGATTTTTGTGAACACAGGTGTTTCGAACTAACAGTAATATACTAGTAAATCCGTCTGAGAAATACGAGGTTGAGTATGTTATATTAAAAAATGATTGTCTAAATCAACAAGTTGTACAACACCGGAAGTGAGCGATCACAAAGTTGAGTGTGTGTTGTACAACACCGTAAGTCAACGATCACAACGTTGAGTGTGTGTGTGTTGTACAACACCGGAAGTCAACGATCACAAAGTTGAGTGTGTGTTGTACAACACCGGAAGTCAACGATCACAAAGTTGAGTGTGTGTGTTGTACAACACCGGAAGTGAGCGATCACAAAGTTGAGTGTGTGTTGTACAACACCGTAAGTCAACGATCACAACGCTGAGTGTGTGTGTGTTGTACAACACCGGAAGTCAACGATCACAACGTTGAGTGTGTGTTGTACAACACCGTAAGTCAACGATCACATAGTTAAGTGTGTGTTGTACAACACCGTAAGTCAATGATCACAAAGTTGAGTGTGTGTTGTACAACACCGTAAGTCAACGATCACAAAGTTGAGTGTGTGTTGTACAACACCGGAAGTGAGCGATCACAAAAGGAACAGAACGTACAAGCAGCGCTGGATATCAGTGTTGAATTTTGGAATACTTCCCCTCTAAGAAAACGGTCACCAGGATATGACTGGAAATTTCTCCAACTTAACAGGTTTGCTTGATGTAGGCTACATTCGGATAAGTGATTAAATCAGACAAACAAGCAATTATAATTAATAACAGACTAATCAAAGATAAGCACCATGTATTCACAGTGCAGGTTAATGCTTACAACAAACTAAGTGACCCAGAACCCAAGTTCTTCTTTTGTTGATAGATGTTTCTCCAAACTTTACTTTATTTTGACAGAAAAGTTTGTATTATACTTTAATATTCGAGAACGTACTACACAATACGGATATTTTATTACAGCTGCGTGAGTGGAAATACATCAGTTCAATACTCGGCAGTCTGTTTACCGAATGTTTACAGCGGTAATATATCCGATTTCTTTATTTTCACACGTTGAATTATTCTTACAATGTAACTGTAAAGGATATAACTAGCTGTTGAGTAGCGGGTTTGGTATAATTGTCTAAGTGAGGAAAACTATGAATAGTGGTCGATCTGACACAAAAAAAAATTGTTAAAATCGCTAGTCATGTGATTAACGTTTCGCCTAACCGACAAATACACAAGACTGTTATAATCACTAGTTATGTGATTAACGTTTCGCCTAAACGACAAACACACAAGACTGTTAAAATCGCTAGTCATGTGGTTAACGTTTCGCCTAAACGACAAACACACAAGACTGTTAAAATCGCTAGTCATGTGATTAACGTTTCGCTTAAGCAACAAACACTCAAGACTGTTAAAATCACTAGTTAGGTGATTAACGTTTCGCCTAAACGACAAACACACAAGACTGTTAAAATCACTAGGTAGGTGATTAACGTTTCGCCTAAACGACAAATACACAAGACTGTTAAAATCACTAGTTATGTGGTTAACGTTTCGCTTAAGCAACAAACACTCAAGACTGTTAAAATCACTAGTTAGGTGGTTAACGTTTCGCCTAAACGACAAACACACAAGACTGTTAAAATCACTAGTTATGTGATTAACATTTCGCTTAAGCAACAAACACATAAAACTGTTAAAATTGTTTCTTATGTGGTTAACGTTTCGCCTAAGCGACAAACACACGAAACTGTTAAAATCGCTACTTATGTGGTTAACGTTTCGCCTAAGCGACAAACACATAAAATTGTTAAAATCGTTTCTTATGTGGTTAACGTTTCGACCAAACAACAAACACACAAATGTCAAAATCTCTACTTATGTGATTAACGTTTCGTCTAAGCAACAAACACATAAAACTGTTAAAATCGCTTCTTATATGGTTAACGTTTCGCCTAAAGGATTTTATTCTGCTCAACGTTGATCATTTATCCAAAACAAATACCAACCACAAAAGCTGGTCAAGTTCACGTTTCAGTAACTTTGATTGTATCCACTTTTAAAGAAGGAACATACACTCAATAAAGCTGATCAAAAGAAGGTTTTCCAGAATGAAGGTAATAAGTACTGAAAGTTCACCTTACCTGGTTCAAGAGTAGGTCGATAGGTGTCTCACAACACGTTGTATTTTCTAAGTGAAAAGGCATCTGAAATAAGACCATTCTGTTAAAAAAAAACAACAGAAAATATGTCTAAACTATTGTCATCCTGTTACAGTAAATATATATATATATATATATATTGGACTAATACCACCGTGTTATAAAACACAGAAAATATGTCTAAACTATTGTCATCCTGTTACAGTAAATATATATATATATATATAAATTGGACTAATACCACCGTGTTATAAAACACAGAAAATATGTCTAAACTATTGTCATCCTGTTACAGTAAATATATGTATATATATATGT